TCCTTGTTACTGGCAGTAAGAAGTCCCCGCTCCTTCCAAATGGCCCCATGCATGTGGAGAATCATAAAAGAGTACTTGGAGTCGGTAAATATATTGACTCTTTTACCTTTCGAGAGTTCCAATGCACGGGTCAGGGCTATTAATTCAGCTTTTTGCGCTGATGTACCTGCCGGAAGAGCCTTGGCCTCCACGGTGTTCTGGAGCGTCACCACTGCATATCCAGCACATCGACGGCCTTGGTCCATGAAGCTGCTGCCATCTGTAAATAGCTCCCACTCTGGGTCTGGCAGAGGCTGGTCAGTTAGATCTGGTCGGCTAGCATACACTGTGTCTATGGTTTCTAAACAATTGTGGATTAAAGTGTCATCCTCAGGTCCATCTGCATTGCTTGGAAGCAGTGTGGCGGGATTCAGGGAGTTAGAAACCTGCAGCTTCACATTAGGATTGTCTAACAGAGCTGCTTGATATTTTCCCATTCGCCCGGCAGTCAACCAAAGTCCACCCTTCTGCTCCAGCAATGTCAAGACCTGATGTGGCACACACACAGTGATGGGCTGACCCAATGTAAACTTCTCTGCCTCATGTAGGAGGTCACAAGTGGCAGCCACAGCACGCAAACATGGAGGCCATCCCTTAGTGGTGTGGTCCAATTGTTTGGACAGATATGCAACGGGCTGCATTTCTGGTCCCAACAATTGGATTAGTACTCCAAGGCCAACACCCTGTCTCTCATGTACATAAAGTTTGAATGGCTTCCTAAGATCTGGAAGCCCTAATGCTGGTGCTGAAATCAACTTTACTTTTATTTCTTCAAAGGCCTTTTGACATTCTGAGGTCCAAGACAAAGGTTCAGAGTCCAGGCCTTTGAGAGCATCGTACAAGGGTTTTGCTATTAATCCAAAGTTAGGAATCCAAATCCTGCAAAACCCAGCCATACCCAAAAATCCACGCAACTGTCGCCGGTTGCTGGGGACTTTAAGGGCTGAAATTACTTGTTTCCTTTCTGTCATCAAGCTCCGTCTGCCTTTCCTAATTTCAAACCCCAAATACGTCACCGTTTGTTTACAGATCTGTGCCTTTTGGGGTGACACCTTATAGCCACATTCTGCCAGGTGGTTCAGTACCACTATGGTATTTTCCAGACAAGATTTGTAGTCTGGACTTGCAATCAATAAATCATCTACGTATTGCAACAAGACGCCCTGGTTTAATTGAACCTTCCTGAGATCCCTGGCCAGTATTTCCCCAAAAATAGTTGGGGAGTTCTTAAACCCCTGTGGAAGCACAGTCCAGCAATACTGGAGAGTGCTCTTGGACTTAGGGTCTTGCCACTCGAAGGCAAAAAGCGGTTGATCCTGGACATCTATTGGGATACAGAAAAAGGCATCCTTCAGGTCTAATACCGAAAACCACCCAAAGTCACCAGGTATGGCAGTTAATAAGGTGTAGGGATTAGGCACAGTGGGATGTAAATCCCGAACAATGTCATTAATGGCCCTTAAATCTTGGACAAAACGGTACTCGCCTGTATGGGGTTTCTTCACTGGCAGAATCGGAGTGTTATACGGTGAGCGACAGGGCCGAATGAGTCCAGATTGAAGGAACCTTTTCAATACTGGCTCAATTCCCCTCAAGGCCTCCTCTTTAAGGGGTATTGCTTCCTCCTCGGGGTTCTGCTCCCCTCTATCACTTCTATTTTTACAGGCTCCGCATTTTTCGCACGTCCTGGGGTTCCATCAGCCCATACCCATTTACTTACTCTTTCAACAATTTCTGGAGGTAAAATTTCACCTTTCGGTGGAACATCTTGAGTAAGTAACATCTGGAACCGCAGAGCATGCTCTGGAGGCACCTGTAGGTGAAGCCTCTGATGTTTTGGTGAGAATATAATTCGTGCGTTGAGCTTACTTAAAAGGTCACGACCAAGGAGAGGGATTGGACACTCTTCCATGTATAGGAAGCTGTGCTGGAGCTGTGTGGTGCCTAGCCGGCACTCCAAAGGTTGCAGGAAGGGTGTCTGTTGTGACTTCCCTGTAACCCCAATGACTGCTGCAGTCTTTTTGCTCATTTTAGTTAATTTCGAATTCAAAACTGAGTATGTTGCTCCAGTGTCCACCAAGAAATCAATCAGACGATCCCCCACAGCGAGGGTTACCCGGGGCTCTGAGGGGGTTATTCTAATGGGCTTCTCTAGATCTAGTGGAGCCCCCGGGCACCCCTATTCTGCATCTGAACTTTCTCCATGAACTATCATCTGTCTCCTCTCCTCTGCACTTGGTTCTAGATTCCTTCTACTCTGTCTGTATTCCCTCCTATCTTCACCTGAGGCTCTACCCTGTGCTGTCATTTGTCTCCTGTCCTCTGTACTGGGCTCTCGATTCCTTCTCTGTCTGTATTCCCTGTCATCATCTGAGCCTCCACTCTGTGCTAACATTTGTCTTCTTTCCTCTCTCCTTGGTTCCTGGTTCTGTGTGCTCCTTCTATATTCCCTCCTGTAACCCCTACGTGAATCATCATGTCTTGGGGTTCTCTGTCTTCTATCCTGCCTTCTATAATTATTGCGTCTGCCGCTTCCCTGTAACCTGGGACAACTGTACTTCCAATGTCCCTCTTCCCTACAGAAAGCACACTGATTTCTTCCTAGGGGTTCACGTCTCTGTCCATTATTGTTTCCCTGAAACCCTGTTCTGTGTTCTCTTTGTAAAAAAACAGTCGCAGGTTTCGGTCTCCTGTGCTCTCTATTATTATAAACCCTGAATGCCAGGTCCACTACCTGGGACGGACTCATCTCAGTGACGCCGTCCACCTTAGCTAACTTTTTCTTTATGTCTGGGGCACTATGGGTAATGAAAGCCGTAGTGATCAGACGAGCATTTTCTGGGGCATCTGGGTTTATGTCCGTGTGGTTAGTGTAAGTTTGAATAATCCTCTCAAGGAACTCTGACGGATCCTCATTAGCTCCTTGCTCGAGTTCCAATATTTTGTTAAAGTTTTTTTGTTTGGGGATCCCCTGCTTCAGTCCTACCAATAAGCATTTTTTATAGAGATCCAACATCGCCGTTCCTCCATTGTTAGGGTCCCATCCAGGATCTCTCTCTGGGACAACAACCTCCGGCTCTGGGGACTGCCTATCCTGTTGGTGGAGACGGTCAGCCTCCTCCCTGGCTTTCCTGAATACCATCCTCTGCTCATCCAGCGTTAATAAAGTATGCAGCATGGACTGTATATCTGCCCAGTTAGGGCGGTGGGAGACAAAGATAGAGGCAAACAAGTTCGCCATCCTCTGAGGAGCCTGCCGGTACGAGGAACAGAGCTCCTCCAATTTAGGAGGTCCGCAGTACTGAACGGATGGTGCGACCAAAAGTACCCAGCAGGTCTCCCATGTTCATTTAAGCCACCCATTGGCATCTGGCGAAGGGGAAACTGCCCTGCCTCAGGTTGATCCTTCCTGCCAAAATGGGTGCCGAGTCTAGTGTGGGGAGGAGACGCCATTTTAGTGTCCTCCCCAGAGGGCAGTGGAGGCTGTGCAGCCTCAGGGGTCTGCACGGGAGGGGCTTTGTCACGTGGAAGAGGATTTTGTCCTCGTGTATTTAAAGTATTTAAAATATGATGCTCCTCCTCTTCTAACTCTGCTCGCTGGCTGTCCTCATGGAAAGGGGAAGGTCTATCCTTTCTCTGCACCATTAGCCTAGCCTTCGCCTCCGCCATATCTAATTTATGGAGGGCGGCCTGCATCTGGTCCTGCATACCTTTAAAAGCTGACTCAAAAGTCCGATTTTGTTGTTGCACTTGATACAGCATGCTTTGATAAGCTGACTCAAAAACGTTACGATTTTCATCCCTTATACTCTTAATAGTTAAATCAAAAACCTGATTTAGTTGTTGTATGGCCACGTTAAAAGCCTGAATTTGTTGTTGCACATTCTCAGTATGTGAAGTAGAACTTCTACCTCTCACAGAAACAAGAATGTAGCAAACTGCGCTTACACATATTACCAAAAAACCACCCAGAAGCACAGTCTGTAAAGGGATGGCTTGTAAACCACCCATGTATGTATACAATAGTAAAATCACATGCCATACACCAGGCTTCATCAAATTATTTATATTAATGAAACTGGTGGTGATATTTAATGGAAGAAGGCTGCTCAAATTCAAGGCCGGAAGGAAACTGAAAGAACTCAGGCTAGGGATGAAACTGTATAGGCTCATGGTTGAGGCCATATTTGAGTCAAAACACACCCACAAGGGCTGTACGCACAGGGAAAAAAACAGACTTTTCAGGACTAGAGACAAATATTATACTGCTAGTCCTGCAGAACTAGTGCGCTTATGGTGACCAACGCAAGGAATGTTACTTTGGGCTGGTCAACCGCGGGTGTAACTTGGAAACCACGCTGGGCGCCAAACTGTTGTAGAGCAACCCCGATACAAAACGGGGTGCCTGACTGTGGGTCCTCACCCGCGCGCTTAAAAGGACTTATCAATGCTCTACTGCAGGCACACGTGAAAGGTTAATAAAAGGTTTATTTACAAGGGAAAGGGAAATGAGGAAATGTACAGCTCTGGGAGAAAAGTGGGAGACAAAGTTTTAAATGAGTCCTACCCGATCCGCCGATCAGGAATCCCAAAATGGCGCTCTGAGAGCTGGCCGCCAGCCAGGAGCGGTGAAGCCAGGAGGCGAGCGATCGCGAGCCAGAGAGAGAGCAAGGCCCACGTGTTTGGTTTTTATATCCAACCTGGCTGCCCAACTCCACCCTCAGGTCCCAGCCACCCTCCCCTTGGTGGTGATGGGATTTGTCTTTCCCAATGTCCTGATGGCTTTAGTCTGGAGTGGGGTGGAGTCCACAAAGCCTGTATGAGATTATCTCAGGACATCCTTTCCCCCTAACAA